ATGGGTAGAGGGAGGAGGTGGGACGGCTTGCTTAATGCTGAGCAGCCAGAGAGAAGGCCAGTATGACATTGCAAATACTCATGGGCACAGACATAGGGAATGTTCTGAGCTCCTACTTTGAGTTAAGGGCTAAGTATGAACAATTTATGTTTTGTGTCAGGCAATATGATTACTACATAGAAATATAAGGCTGAAAGGGATGTCAAGAGGCCGTCTAGTCTAACCTCTGCTCAGAGCAGGATCATCCCAGTCTAAACCATTCCTCTAGGCATTCTGAACCAATGCTTCACTGTCCTCATAGTAAGAAAGTTCTTCCTAATGTCCAACCTAAGTTTCCCTGCTGTAGTTTTCAGAATCTTCCTCCTTGTCTTGCTCCTTGCTGCTACAGAGAACAGTGTATCACCATACTCTGAAAAAACAGTCTTTGGGTATTTGAAGACTGTTATCAAATCTCCCCTTATTCTCTTCTCCAGACAAAATAATCCTAGTTCTTCCAAGCTTTTCTTGTATGTTACATTTCATAAACCCCTGCAAACTTTCTAATTTGTCCATTAATAACTTTCTCCTCCTTCAATCTTTCTTGAAGTGCAATGCCCAGAACTAGACACATTACTCTAGGTGAAGCTGCAATAGTGCTGAATTCAGTGGAGGAAAGCTTCTCTTGACTTGTAACAACCCTGTTAATACAACCCAGAATGCTATTAGCCTTTTTTTACAACAAGAGCACATCACTGATTGATTTTCAACATATGTTCCCCTATAAACCCCAAGATCCTTCCTTTTCTGCAGTACTGCAGCCTAGCCAGTCATTCCTCAATTTGTGTTCTGCATTTGATTGTTCCATCCTAAGTGCATGACTTGGCACTTATCCTTAATGAATTTAATTTGATTTCAGACCACTTTTCCAGTTTAACAAGGTCATTCTCCTCTGTGTACAGTGATATAACCACTGTTTCATGTAAGGATTGAGCAATAAAAAATAATGAACAAAAATAACACTGTACATAGTTAAAAACTTTAAAACCAAGGGGTTTTAAGTAGACAAGTTTGGATTTTCCAGGTCATTAATTTGTGTCTTGAGGGCAGAGGGGTCATAACCATTCTCTGAATCTTGGGCAGTGGGATTTTGATAGAACAGCCTGTCCCTTACACAAAAGGGAGGTAAAGAATACCAATGTCCATTGTTCTCTTTAATGTGTTATGTCATGGAATATTGAGAGAAGGACCTTTTCCTGGGTTGCTGTAATGAAAATACAGAAATAGCAGAAGCAGAGGGCTGCAGGACAGAGGCATCGTATTCATCAAATCACCTCTTGAGCTTCTTTTTCTCCAATGCAGTGTAGACAGACATTCAGACGATGCTGGCATCCTTGTTCTATGATGTGTCAGCTATGGGGAATGAGAGAGAAGAAAGGACAACCACTTGGGCCACATCCAGATGTTGACTTGACAAGCAAGACCAATGCTCGGGGTCAGCAATATCAGTTTATTAGACAGGGGTGCAACTACACAAACACAGAAGCATAAAACAAATACAAAAACTAAAAATAGGTACAAGAAACTGTTGATTCCCCCACACAAACACACACTCATACACTCACACACACACACATATAAGGGTAACTGGGTGATCTCTATCCAGGTGCTGCAGGTTGATGGGTGGGCAGTGATAGACCTGTGCCCTGCCTTTGCCCCTCACGCCTAAGCTGCTGTTGCCAAGCCCTGCCAGTGCCAACTAAAGACCTGCAGCCCCTGCCCCCAGCTCTGTTGGTGCCCCTCACTCCTGACCTGCAGCCCTGCCCCCTCCAGTGCTGATGGTGCCCCTCACTCCTGACCCAGAGCCCTGCCAGTGCCCCTCACTCCCAACTCACAGCCAACTGTTCACCCCAGCCCTGCTGCCCATGCTGCTCTGTGCATACACACACACTTGCCGTAGCCCGTGTGCAGAGGACATGGCCCCTGACAGCCAATCACCCTGCCCGCTGTTCCCAGGCCCAAGCATCCAAGCTGCTTGTGCCTGGGAAAAGCAGAGGCAGAACAAAACCCCAGAAATTGTCTCGCATTTTAAAAACCCACCTGGACATGAGGACAGGGGGCCAAAAACAGGACATGTCCAGGAAAACTCGAACGTATGGTAACCCTACCCCTACCCCACTTGAGGTAATCTGCCGTGTTCCAAAGGGTATGTGGCATGGGATAACTTGCAGCAGCACAAGGTGTCCCACTGTTAGTTGTCCCTGGGGAACCAATAGTCTGTGCTTATCTGGATGCAGCTTTATTGTTCAAATAGTAGCCGCCTCATTAATGTTGGTAACATAAAATGTTGTCTTTTCCTCAGTTTGAAATTCTCCATAGGACTTTCCCAGCCTTGGGTTAAGGGTAATATATATATACATGGTAAGATGCATTTCACAGTTTGTGTAAAACCTGTGTCCCATTTTTGTAGAACCCAATTTTTGTGGGCAGAAGTAGGGCAGTCACTCACATGGGTTACTGTGGCAATCGAGAAAAGGCCTAAATAATGCCAAAACACTAGGAGGCTAGCTACAGTTTGCAGCAGCTTGGTAATTGCTTGTGCATGTCTATGGATTGCCAGTGAGTGGTTGTTGAAAGGGTGACCAGACTTATAACTGCAGATTATTTTCACTCTGTAGGATAGTACTCTAAGGAGTGTCCTTGTAAGGTAGAGGCTTGTGTTCAAAAAGTGAATGGCAAACTGGGAAGTTATGTGATTCTCCTGTTTTCACGGAAATAACTATATTTAATTCACATGCATTACTTTTTTTTCAGTGCAAATCCATGGGTGGATGCTAATTTTGTAATAAGCAGTCTTGTTGACTTGTCATTGTCTATTTTATTAAGATTACTTCCTCCCTACCCCCTCCTCCTTTAACACTGGGCTTTGAGAATCATGTTACCATCCAGGAATCTGTGCTGTTACAAGGTTTCTACCTCTTCCCATAGTGGGGGAAAAAAAGCTTGCACAGGTGCATGGGTGTTGAAAAGGGCAGGGGAACAGGGGCGAATGTGCAGCTGGTGTGGCACATCATTATATGATTTTCTCCAGTTAAACAGAACCAAAAGCTTGTCTAAATATGCTAGGGGCCTACCACTATATCATCGATTTTCGGATCCAAGAAGAAACAAAGAGATTTCCTGAAAGGTACACTCATTTGCTAAACAACATTGGCTGCGTCCAGATGAGCGTGGATGTGTGGTATGTGGTGCCACACACCTCACAAGCAAGTGTTCCCTGTGCTGCTACCAGAGATCCCAGGTTAAAAAACACTCATGCCGAAAAAGATGGGGCGGCGTATATGCCACCCAAAACTGGGGCCTGACCTACCAGAGCCATGCTCCAGCTGCCAGCCAGGCTCCCAGCTACAGCTGTCATGGCTGCAGCTCTCTGAGGCCTTCAGGTAAGGCTGCTGGGGTCAGCATAGTTGCAAATCATAGTCTCTGATTCTGAAAAGAAAACCTAACCCTTCTTGAGTGCTGCACAGGTGCGTCCAGGATTTCCCTGCCAGGTGTTTCTTCATATGACCAGACCCAAGTTAAGGTTTTGAGCTAGAACTAGAAGCAGCCTGAAGGGCTGTGAAGCAGGAGAGAGACTTTCCCAGGGGTAACTCCCTCATTCCTGCTGGAGTAGCGTTGCCAGGTCTTAAATATGAAATTATCCTATTGGAAGCTCAAAATTATCGTTATTTGCTGAAAAACGATCATGCACTGAAAACATATGCAAATAAGTATGGAAACAAGTCTTTTTCTTGTTTACTTTATATTGTTCATTGTAAGTCGCCAGGGAGTGTGTGAGAACTAGGTCATCAAAGCTGAAACATTTCTTATTAATCATAAGAAAGTATGGAGGCAAGCCTGGAAGTCAAAAGGCAGTTCTTGTGGGCTAAGATCAAGTAGGGTTGATGCACTGGTCTGTTAATCTGACTGAAGTGGACTTGAAAGGCACTGTGAAGTGGAGCACCCCTGTCCAATACATTGTAGGACATGCGATGAGTCTGCAGCAGCCTCCCAGGAGCCAGCTTCTGGTGGGAGGATCTTAGCTACATGCCTACTTTATGCAAATGATGATTTCTCCTTAGCTTGCTCCTGTGGCCACCAGCTAAGGGCAAGTGAAACGTGGGAGCACGCGAACCCCAAGACCTCTGGGCTTGGGTCTGCATGGATGATGCCTGCCAATGGATTTGGGAGCATCTGAAGCTCCAGGCTAAAAAGCCTGGGGTGGAGGATACTTACTGATTGTAGCACCACATATGGTGTTTGTGTGATTTTGTTCAGTCGAGAGGATTTGGAACTAATTTGGCTAATTAGACCTGGAACATTTTGGGCTTTTTTTTTTATAAACATTTTTTCAAGCCTTTTTTTTAGTAAAGATTTTCACACACAAAAAAAGCCCTAAAGTCAATTAAGACTCCCCAGACACTCAGATGTTGCATATGTTGCATCGATTCGCTGCCTCAAAAATGATCGTACCTTCTGAACACTTTTACTATGATTAATCATTTCAACCCTGGGATGTATGATCATACAAGTACAATAATTATTGTACACCTGGCAACACTCAACACAGCAGCCAAATTTGGGTGCAGCACTGCACTCCCCTTCCCACTCCTCCGAAGAAGGGACACGAGCCAAAACCTTAGGAGAAAACACCGTTCGCCTCATTTTTGCAATTGCTTTATTTTGGGGGGCACGGACTTCCCCTTTCGCAGGAAGGGCAACCCCTGCTCAAGCGCCCGCCTCCAGCCTGGTGGGAAGAGGCAGGTCCCAGGTCCATTATGACGCCACTCGGCCAGAAACCTTCTCATACCCTCCCCCTGCGGGAAGCTCAGCTGCAAAGTACTTCCGGCGTCTACAGCTCCCACGGGGCTGTGCAGCTTGTATTACCGTCTCTCCGTGTCCAACTTGGCGGGGTGGCTTGGACTGCAGTTCCCAGCGTCCTTCGCGCGAGGCCCGCCGCTTCCCAGCCCGGTCCAGCTGGGCGGAGCACGCTGGGGGCGGGCTCGGCGCGGCGGTTGAATCGCGGGCGGGTGGCGGGTGACGCGGGGCATGGAGCTGTCCCCGCTCATCCGGAAGCTCGGTGAGGCCCGGGCCCAGGCTCCAGCACGGAGGCTGGTTAGGGGGCAGGGCAGGGGAGGAGTGCTGGGGGTGGTGCATGCTGGGATACTGGGGTGCTGATGTTTTCGGTTAGCTTGGTGGGGACAGAATGAAATGGCCCCAACAGGAGCGGGGGGGGGGGGGGGG